CCTTACTTTTATATCTCTCCCCCACCCCCAACCCATCATCACGCTTTCGCCATTACTCCCACGCTCTTTCCTCTTTACCTACCCACCCCTTCCTTTCCGCAGACACCTACCATTGTAAGGAGCGCCACCCTCATTTCTCGTATCCACACACTGTAGCAAGAGGAGCCGAAGCCATGGATAAGCATCTTCGTAGGTCTTGAAACGTTGAAGGTGGAGTCGAGAAGGGAACTGATGTTTTGGTAGGTGATTAGCTTCTCCCTGTCGGCACGCTCGCGAGTGTATAGGAGGAATCTCGTGTTGATCTGTGGAATAATGTTGTTTTTTTTATTTATTTGTTTGTTAAATGTTGGGTATATTAATGCTAGTAGATTGACAGAATTATTAAAACTTTGAGGATAATGGTGCAAGTCAAGAGACAAGAGACACCAGAATGGACAGCGAAAAGAAAAGAAAATCGAATTAAGAGATAACATCAGTCGTCTTATAGGGGGAAATTTCATATAATCATGTAGGGGAAATTTCAGGAAATTGCATGTGAACCAGCCGCCATTTCACATCCAGTAAAAGATGTAAACAAAACACACCTCTTCAGGCGGCGAAGGAAGCATATCCAGGTAGTCGAAGGGCCCCTCGTCCCTGAAGCAGCCTAGGTCCTTGTAACACACAACCTCCTCGTCCCTCTTCACACGTCGCTTCCTGCAGGAGGGAAGAAAAGGGAAGAAGAGTCAGCGTAAGAAATAATGATGGTAAGGATTCATATCTTGATTTTGACAAAATGAATCAACGCGTGAAACAGGAGAAATCAATTAAAATAAGATATATGGGAAGCGATACCACGGAACAATATAATGACCAAACAGCAAATGTTGTAAAAAAAAATAATAATAAATAAATAAATAAATAAATCAAATCAAAAATAATAATAAAATAATAAATAAATAATCTTAATGGCAATGCAAAACAGAATGATAAAATGATAGAATGATAAAAAATCCCGCACTCACCCGTTTAGCTTCTTCTGCAGCTGATTGAACTCCCACTCCGCCATGCTAGTCACCACGGCCTCGAGAATCTTCAAGTCCTCCACCTCGTCCTCCATCTCGACGTCCGGCCGACCCACCAGGAACCCGTGAGAGTCGTGCATCTTCTTCTTCAGCGCCTCGTCCAGGTGGCTTTTCTTCTTCTTCTTCGTCAGGTCGTCCGTCTCGTTGTCTATCAGCTGAAACCGCGGAGGCGACCACTTCTTGGCCTTCCCTCTTCTTCGCTCTTTCACGTGCTCCTCTGTTTCGTCTTTTGTTTCCTTTTCGCTCGATTCCTCGGCTTCTGTGTCTTCATTCTCTGTATCTTCGTCTTCTTCATTCTCGTTTTCTTTTAATAAAATGTCTTCCATGTCTATTTCCATTTCCTTTCTCATCATCGTCATTTCTTCCATATTTGTTTCTTTCTCCTCTTCCTCCTCGCTGTCATCTCTCCCTTCATCTTGTTTATCGACATTTTCTCTTTCCTTCGTCGGATTTTCAGTCAAAGAAACTTCAGCAGATAAGGTGGTGACGTCTAGACTTTCCGTAACGTCGTAGTACTGATAAGTGCTTTCGGTGACATCATCCATAACGTCATAACTACCTGTGATGACGTCATAGGTTTCAGTAGTGACCTCGGGTGAATCGAAGCTTGCTGTAGAGACTTCCGATTGGACGATCTCATCCGTTACGTCATCGAATTGGTCAGAACCCTCTGTGTGCTCCATAGTAAGGGCATGCTCCGTCCAGCCTCCCTCCGTGACGTCATCACTTGTGTAGTAGGTTTCCGTAGCATGGTCTGGGTTTTGCGTTTCTGTGACGTCATCGTCTGGGCTGTATGCTTCCGTGACGTCATCATCTGGGCTGTATGCTTCCGTGACGTCATCATCTGGGCTGTATGCTTCCGCGACGTCATTATCTGGGCTGTATGCTTCCGTGACGTTACTATCTGTGCTGTATGCTTCCGTGACGTCATCATCTGGGCTGTATGCTTCCGTGACGTCACCGTTTGGATTATATGCTTTTGTGACGTTATCAAGGTTTTGCGCTTCTGTGACATCATCTGCATAACGCGCTTCCGTGACGTCATCATCTGGATAATGCGCTTCCGTGACATCATCTCGATTAGTTCTTTCCGTGACGTCCTCCGTCAACTCCTCCTTATCCTCGTTTATGCCATTATTTCCTTCACTACTCCTCCCTTCCCTAGCGCCGCTCTTCTGCTTGCTCTCATCCGTGGCGATATTATTCCTCACATCTTTCGTGTGAGTGTCTCCTAAGAGGAATTTTCCGTTCGTCCTGTCCAAGAGATTCTGAACCCTTTCGAGAGACTGGCGCCCGCCCTGTGTCGCCGCTAAACCGCCTTTACTCGTCTTCGAAACGGACCTCGTGACGTCATCGTTCGAGGCGACGGGTGATTGGCGGAGCCCGAGGTGGCCGGCCTGGCAGTCACGCCATTGGACGACGGTGAACAGGACAAA